TACCTAACGAGTTCTTTCCTATTTTCTATATATTTTACACACACACACACACACACACACACACACACACACATATATATATATATATATATATATATATATATATATATATATAAAATGATAATACTCGTATGGAAAACCTCAGATAGCTCAAATTGTATCAGATAGCTCAAATTGTAGTACCCGAGGAAAAAATTGGCCAGTTTTACCCTGAAGATCCGTTTACGTGAAACCTAGGTAGGTTTGCCTGGCTCCTTAGGACTATTTTGGTGTGTGTGTGTATATATATATATGCATGTTTGTGCGTGTGTATGTATGTATGTATATATACATATGTGTGTGTAAACTTTATTTCAATACTTCATCAGCTTCTATCCTTAGCGATGATTAATTAATGATGAACATATCATTTTCATTTACGATCGATTTCATCACGATTTTTTCTGTTAAGGTTGGGTAGTAATTATACATTGTTATTGCTCAAAGTAGAGGTCAAAAGAGTAATAATAATCTCGTATAATTCCAGTAAGTTATCTTTAATCATTTCTAAGATACTACGGTTCAAATCTTAATGTACCAATTGGACAATTTTATTGTTACACCCGGTAGCTATATATGACATGCTCACTTCTTAACATAGTCACCATCGCTTCCAATAGCAGTGTACCACAGATGAATGTGGGCGTCTATTCCAGCTTCGTAAAACTCAGCTGCTGGATTTTCTGATTTCTTACAGCAGTATCACTTTTTCATCAGCACCATAACGTTTGCTACGAAGTGTATCTTAAATTGGACCAAAGAGATGGAAGTCTGACTATGCCACGTTAAGTGGTAATGATGAAGACCGTTGTAAAGAATTGGCCACATCTGAAGCCAGCTCAGTTTTACGAAGCCGGGATGCATGCCATCATTCGTAGGTGAAACATTGCCACTAAAAGAGGTGACGACTATTTTGAGAAGTGGGGATGTGAACGTGTGATGTATAGCTATAAACAAATTGCATTACTTTTTGATACACTTTCGTAGTTACTTGTCATATTTTCCAGTGAATGTAAATTTAACGGTATCATCAGTGGACAAGACTTAATGAAAATGTTATTGACAGAATATTGTCTATTTTAGGTCATCTTAAAACTATGCAGTAAAAAACTAATTCACAAATATGAATTCAGCTTCGGCTTTTCAAAAAATCAAAATTGTCAACACATACCGTAAACAATTATTTTTTAGAGGCATTGTTTCAGAGTAGACTTTTGGAGATAATGTTTTCTTAATTAATTACCTAGCATTTGATAGAATTTCAGGCATAATGATATTGCTTTGTTTGCTGTTTTCCATTTTTGGTCTGCTTTTCAAATTATCTTTTACGTTTTTTGTTTGCTTTTATCTTGCAACGTCTTTGTCTTGACAGTTACTTATTTTCTCTTCAATTTTTAATGATTTATCCCGTGTATCCCTATTCATCCCTGTCTAGAATAATCTTATCGTTCTAAGTGCTTATGGCTACTTCATTAGCTCTTTCTCTTCTCCTTCATTACTTTCGTTTATCACCGGCTTTAATAAAAGTGTGTCTCTTATCTCTTACATATGTATATCAGTTATAGTTTTCGTTTATTGATTTTTCATATTATAAATATTGGTCATCCTCTAATAATTAGGCTGGTCTTAATTTATCAGCTTCGAACAGGGAGATTTTTCAATGTTTATTACCGGCCTACATTTTTGTAGCTCATTCAAGACGTGGGCAAACATGTTTCTTCATATCACATTTTCAAAACTTTCGTCATCCTGTGTCCCAGAAATTTCAACTTTCACAATCTGATTCTATGTATTGTTTCTGTTTAATTATCCCTTAAAACTTCCACGTCCGTCCATGCTATTCTACGGTAAAACCACACCTCTGTAATCTCAGGTTTCCTCTCATCCGTGAGGAAGATGTCATGCATTCAATGCCAGAAATTAGGATTGATATTACATAGCAATTCAGAATTTTTTTCATTTGTTTCTAAACAGGTTTTCCTGACACTTAGAATTTTGATTCACTTTTAAAATCCATCTTTCGCTATTCGGATGTGCCTTCGAATTTACGGGTCAAACTTACCGCCATATGTTCAATAACTTCCCAAATCTTTACGCTACTGTGCTTCATTTATTTGTATTATTTACATTGTTGGGACTGTTGACCTTTTTTTATTGCTATATTCACGACGTTTAGAACGTTATACGCTCCAGCCTGCTTCAGGGCATTGTAATTTCGAACTGGACCAATTATTTCGTCCACCGAAATAGATTGTTCTCGTTCCACGTGCCACTCCTCTTCCGGATGTCTCAGTTATCTCCCTTTAACTTAACTCTCCAAATTTCTGTTCTTCACTGCAGTAGGCAAGTATTGATCTCTTGGCACAGCCACGTTATAATGGTTGGAAAATTCCGGCTAAAAGACACATCCTATTCGTAATCCTCTTACTAGTGTTGTGTACACTATGTGCATTATTCATTATTCGGTCTATTGTCTTCATCTTTCTCGCTATATTTATTACAACGTTTCGGTCGTTGTACGCTCCGGCCTTCTTCAGGTGGTTGGAATATCGAACTCAACCCTTTATTTCGCTCACTGTTCTAGTTCCACGTGCCATGTTTAATGGATGTCAGCTATCAGTTATCTCTTGTTAATTCCCCTCTCCAAGTTCTCCACTACCTTAACCGGGTATTGAACTCACACTCTTTGGGTCTTGTTACTGGATCTAACCAACGCCTTTATCCACAAGGTCACATGGCACAGTGGATTTCATTTCACATTTATCCATATTAACATTTGTTCGAAAATATTAGGCCTACTGTAATGACAAAAATACGCAGGTGTAGGATTTAAGAACGCTTTATTCAACTGAGAATACAAGGCTCACGTATAGTGTCATTTTATAGACCCAATAAACGGAGGTGAGTAGCAAAGGGGAGACCACTCTTGATTATTCATAACAGCTACTTCATCTTTCTTTTTTGGTGTAATTCATTTCGATTTAGCGATTGTTATTTGGATTTCCCGAGTGTAAATATTTTGGTCATGATTTGTTAATAACGTTTTGATATCAAATATATTCGTCATGTTTCGATTATAAAACTTATTTATTTCCCTCTATAATGATATCATTTTATCTTATCAGTTTCTTTTTTTTTATTTATGGGGAGTGTCCTTTCGTCCGATTCTTTGTCCAGAACTGTTTACTTCTCGAATATTTATCATTAGCTTTCATCTTTTTTTTTTTTTTTTACAATTTTCTTGAGAGAATTCGTTTGTAATTTTATCTCTGTAATCTAAGTGCTTGCTATTCATTTTAATGATTTATTTTAGCTGAGTTTTCTTGGTCGATAATGTAAGTTTCTATTATTTCTTTTTATTTATGTGACGGTAAGTCTTGTTTATGATGTTAAAAGTATAACTTCATTTATTGGATGGCTTCTTGGTATCGTCTCTTCGTAAATGTCCGCAGGATTTTTTTTTTTTTTTTCGAATTTTTCACTTCGCGGTTTTGTTAATGTATTGTTGAATAATCTCTTTTTTATTTGTATTTCTTTTGTCTGGCTTCTGACTCGTGTGGTTAAACATTTATTTGTTAATATCTTCAATGATTAACATTGTGTTGTTTATTTCCTTTTTTGTTCAGCGGGGTGCATTCTTTTTTCATATTGTACTGCTTTGACATTGCTTTCTTATCTACATATATTTTCAATTTCCATTAGTCTTTGGTATGAAAAAGAATTGCTTCGACGATTTCATCAGTACTAGATTTTCTTTTTTTTTCCAAGCGCCATATGCATTAAGGTTGTGGCTGACCTTGGTAATCTAAAAACTACCTTACTTAGTAGTGTTCATCTTTGTCGTTGCTTTGCCATTTATTCATACAAAATCGTTGATCAGGTTACCCGCTCTTTCTAAAGAACTTCTTGCATTGAATATGCCGTGTAAAAGCTAACTTCTCTGAGCCCACTCTCCTCGTTATATGATCCATAAACTTCCGCTATCTCTTTCTGATTTAAATAACTAGTTTCCTTGTAATTATATTCCTTGGCACTTCCTGGTTGCTCACATGTTCCGTCCATGTTATTCTAAGCGTTCTTATGTGGATCCATTTCTGTCGCTTCAAATTCATCTGGAATGAAACTTTCAAACGTTTCAAATATCAATCATTCCCTCCACACAAACAAAACAAGGCTGATGGCCACTTAATGTTGAAATACCAGTTTGCGCACATTCACCAAAGTTAAGCAACGTCAAGCCTTGTTGGTACCTAGATGGGTAACCGCTTGGGAATACTAAGTACTATAAGCTTAGTATATGTGCGATACGTGCAATGGATTGTTAATCGGAGAGCCGAGTTCGAATTCCCGTTGGGTCCGTTAGATTCACTTACGCGCATATACCCTTGGGAAAGGTGTGAATTCACCTCTTCTAATCAATCTATGGCCTAATTAGTAATACTTTTATCACTAAATCATTATTATCTCCCCCACCCCAAAAAAAATCTGATAATCTTTTTTTCCCCAGGGCAGAAGGTACGGGCCCACTCGAAGTAGAAGATTACAGATTAAGCGGTACAGTTTGAAGATTGTAGACATCGGGGAAACATCCTCGGTTCCATGGAGCAATATTTCAATCTAAAAATATTTTCTTGCTTTAAATAACCTGCAAATTGTTGATAACCCGCAGAAAAGATTCCATCAAAAAAACACAACAAATGCTGAAAACTGAGTCGTGGAAGTCATTCTTTTCTATTTATATGAAGCAGAATCCTCACCCTTAGGAGAAAAAAATTATTTCTTTTTAATGTTATGATTCTCGTCTTTGAGATTAGCATTGATTTTTGTTCAGGATTTTCTAATGTACCAAATCTTTTTTTTCTCATCCATGGGGTGCTTTTAACGATGTGTTTCATATAGAGATATATATTTTAATTATTTTGTCACTTTTCAACACATGTCCATTCAGAACGTAATTAATCATGACGCTTCGCACATTTCCATCGCTTCTTGGTCATTGGGAACCTTTTGGCACTTATCCGGCGCATGCCACGTAAGGTACCATGACGACCACACGATTGGGCCAACTTGGACGGGCTCTGACTAGCTATGACTAGATGAGACCAGCTCTGACCAGCTTAGATAAGCTAAGACCAGCAACCCGAGTGGAAACACTTGTGTTCCCACGTTAAAAACCGACTTTGTGTCACAACCTGGCTCAGTGGTTGGGGATTTCAAGTAAATCAACGTCCCTTAGCCTTTTGGCGCCTTTTGATACTTTCCCGGCGCATTCCAGGTAAGGTATCATGTCGATCACTAGGTTGGCCCAGATATAACCAGCTTGGACAAGCAATGACAAGATAAGACCAGATATGACCAGCTTGGACAAGCAATGACCAGCTAAGACCTGACCAGCTTGGACAAGCAATGACCATCTAAGACTAGCTTAGATCAGCAGTATGAGTGGAAACACTTGGGTTCCCATGTTAAAAACCGACCTTGTGTCACAACCTGGCTCAATTCAAGTAAATCCACCCTTCACGTATTCCTTTACTTTATTATTAACGAAATGCTATGATTCATTGGAAATATAGTGGAGGGATATCCTTTATAATCTCTACGGCTGCTTTTTACTGTAGTTTATCTCTTATAATGACTTCTATCGAAAATGTGAAACCTCAGTTTACGCTACACTTAATGTGGTAAGAGGAAATGGATACACGCCTTTCTAAACGGATATTTGTGCTAAATTTAACCATAATAGATCTGTCCGAAATTTCTTTTGGTTTCATTTGCTTCATTTTGTTTAACGGCGTATCAGCACCTCTATGAATTGTTTCGTGTCGAATTCTCAAATATTTTGAGCACATCTTATGCCTTCAACTAAATATTTTTTGAAAGAAATTGAATGACGTCAACTACAGATAAAATGTACTGTTAGTCATTTTGCTATACAATGCAATGTTGGTAATTCTGCAATAAAAAGTATAGCTGGTCATTTTACTTTAAAAATGTAGTGTGGGTAATTTTACTATAGATATGTATTGTTGGTAATTTTTAATAAAAATGTATTGCTGGTATTGTTACTATAAAAAAGTATTTTCATACTTTCATAATGTTTTATTTTCTGCTTGGGGTTCATTTTTTGGCACATAGCTGAGATCCTAAGAAGATCAGGTTGAGCCTGGGAACACCAGCATTTAAGAGGTTGTTCCACGCTCCTCAAAATCTTCAATCTCCCGATTAGAAGCCTTGCTGCCGAATTTAGATACGCATACGACTAGATATTGATGGAAAAATAAATATAGAGAAATAGCTGACATCAGTTTTTTGGTACCGGTTAAAAGTTGGTCTTGTAAAACGTTAACGACGAGCTCCTTTGATGGTTTGTGACCATTGATTCTATCTGCGTTCACTTAGTAACAGAATATAATAAGATGTAAATATGTAATTATAATACATACGTATAATTACTCTATACAGAGTGTAACAGAAAAACTGTCAAAATCGCGTAAAAACAAAATTCTCTATTTGTTATATTAATCGTAGTTCAGTTGTATCAGATAAATGATTAAAGTGTACCTTTCCGAGGTATTTATGACGCAATAGGACTCTATTTGGAGGAATAAGAATGTATAATTACTCTCTAAGGTTAACACACACACATTCACACATATTTTTATATATAGTCTTACAAAACAAAATGTTTCGGATTTAAATAAACAACAAACTTTTGATAAACTATAAAATAAAAATGTGATCACGTTTGTAGAGCTGAAATTAAGAATAGAAGAATTTCCAAGAAAACTTGGTAGGGTTTAAATTTCGATAAAGATATTTTAAGAACCAAGGACTTTCGACCGAAAGAATATCTTTGTCCCTTGCACGTTTTTTGAATCAAGACAAATCATTCTGACAGAGACACATACTCTTTCATCTTGTGAAAAATACCAGGATGCAAATTTCTACCAGACACCTTCGAGTTATCTAAATCTACACCCTGAACCTCGCTGTTATTCTATACCGGGCGTATTATCAAAATTGTCGAATTGTTCGTTGTACCTTAGAAATGATTAAATATATCTTACTGGAATTCTCTTAGGTTTTTTAACACTTCTGGACTCTGATTTGAGCAATAAGAATGTATAATTACACTCCAAGCTTGACCAAATAATCTTGGTGAATTCGATTATAAACAAAAATGACATTTTATCATTAATTAATCATAGTGAAGGATCGGAAGTTGATGAAGAATTGAAATAAAGTTCAAATATATATATATATATATATATATATATATATATATATATATATATATATATTATTCCAGGATTTTTTCCCAAGTTATTGAATATGATCTTTGCCCTCTCTAACCTTCTAACTTTCTGTCATGGAATAACACGGAGTCTCACAGGTTTCACTTACAATTTCATTTTCAAGTCTTTTTTTCAGAGTTCTTTCATAGCTGAAACGCCTCTCTTACGTGCCAAACGTCTTATGGGTTGGATCTTTTCTAATTCACCTCTTTAGCTCGAATTTGAAATGATGATCCATCTTCCTGTTGTGTTCTTCTGATCCACTTTTTTTTCTGATCTCTCCCCTGCTCTCTGTTTTTAAAACTTATTCACCATTCTCTGGATGGTTCTCAAATGAACTTTGAAGATGAAAGCCAGAGTAGGAATGTTGGTAACATTTCTGAAGACCTGAATGATCATTTTCCTCTCACTATTACTCATTTGAGAAAGCAGAGGGTCTCACACAAAACAGCTTTAACCTGTTTTCTTTCTAGCTGAATAACTCAAATGGTTTTCCTTGATTCTTACGACAAATGGTGTCAATCGGGCTAAATTTCTCATCTGAAAGCCTAGTTAAGTTGTTATTTTAAATATTAGATATTTTATTGGATTGGCAATTATACTGTTACGCCCGGTGTGTACTGTATATGACTAAATATAAGATATACTTAAAAAGTACCAAACATCCCCGGATGTAGTTTATCCTCATACGGTGGACTACGGAATTCGAAATCTGCTTGCTGGTTTCGCATTCAGCACCAATGATGTTACGCTACCTGAATATTTTCTCTTCAGGTGTTGTTAAATATTATCTATTTTTCTCTTCTGAATATTGTCTTTTTCATTTCTTTCTTTTTTTTTTCTGAAATCCGTTTTTATATTTCTGTATTTCTTTCCTTTATTGCTTCTGTTCTTCTTTCTCATTCCTGCATTTTACGACCCTTTTTCTAATTTATCTCTTCCTTTTTGTTTTCTTCTTTTAAATCTGTTGCATTATCCCCTTCCTCAGTTTATTTGGCCGCCTCTTTTTCGTCTTTATAATCATTTTCCTCATTTATAATAGCCATTATTCGCTATATATAACAAGTATTGATAATATAAGTTCTCGTTCAATTACTCCGGCAGTGTTTAAGGCAAAGACAACAGTCACATTCATGAGGTTTCCTCTAAATCTAACCCGTCTTCCTTATTACTCTGAGGCGTTTTAAAAGTCGGATGATTTGTCAGATCATTGCAAGCAGATTGGAAAACCTACTTCCGGCCGAGATGCCATTATCATAGAATCAGTTTCGTGTCTGCAAAATCAAATTTTCATTCGACATCTACGAGACGAAGGCCCAAGACAAATGAGGACTATTTCAGGAATTTCTGTGTCGCGTGCAATTAAGACGAGACATTTACATTGGAATTCCATTCTCTTAAAGTCACTTCTAGAAGTTGTAAACGATATTCACTGCTAATTGTAGTGATAGCTACCAGTATCTATCTATCTATCTATCTATCTATCTATCTATCTATCTATCTATCTATCTCAGTCTGGATCTATCTATCATTCTCTGTCTGGTCTTATCTATCTATCTATCTATCTTAGTCTGGTCATATCTCTCTACCTATCTAGCTATCGTCATATTGCTTTTACATCAAATAAATTGTATTTGATACATGCATACATACACGTACGCACACACATATATATATATATATATATATATATATATATATATATATATATATATATATATATATATATATATATAAAAATGGCTAACGTACAAGAAAAAAACAAGTAAATAATTTAAATAAAATGACTAAGTCTTACAACATTTTAACTGTATCCAGAAATCTATCCAAACCCAAAAGCTGCTTAGACATCAGCATTAGTATAAGCAGATCAACACCTATAAGCTTTACAAACCAACTTTCTGAAGATACCAGGAGAAAAAATATTAATAAACAAATTACTTTCATTTTGCCCGTCGAGAAATTTGGACCCCGTTGATTTTTGTTACAGTTTGGAAAACTTTGCCCTTTAAAATTAAATTAAAAAAACTATATCTTCATAAACAGTAACAACCACCAATCTTCTATCACCAACATTAGAATATACGAAAGTATAGTTTTAAGTAATGCTATATTTATGGATTAAAGTAATCAACCTCATAGATAGAGTGTACGTAAAAATAATAATTAAATACTAAAATAATAGCAAACTAAGAATGCACACATAAACACAAGTATATGTAATAATAATAATAATAATAATAATAATAATAATAATAATAATAATAAAATAAATAATTAAGTAATTAATAATGCATGGTACCCCACAAAAACAGGAAATTTTAGAGCTACTATTAAACGAAAAAAAATTGAAAAATATTTTAAAAAATTAACTATATATTTTACTATATGAATGGACTAAAAAAAATTAACTGTTGTACAACAGAAAGTGTTACTGAATGAGAAATAACCAAAATGGAGGATGGGAATGAAATGGTAATCTTTATAATATCAACAAAATGCAATACTCGCCAGCGGTGTGAAGTAGGTAAACCACTGCTTGATTTATGAGGATTGGAACTATATATGTGATTATAGGTACGGTATATAGCACTAACGTATAATTTTTTAACCATTTGTTGTTCCTAGGTGCCACAGTTAAATTTAATGTGATGTGATTGTTCATTGTAAGAAAGAATATCCAGATTGGCGACTTAAGTTTGGACACCACGGGGTTTTGCTCTGTTTTTAGCTAATAAATTTCTATCCTTTGCTTTTGTTTCATATAACAGTAACAAAAATTCAAATAATTAAATAAAATGTACCAAATTTCCTTATTTTGTGCGGCACCGTTCAGATAACGAATAAAATTTAAAAAAAAACACTATAGAATTGTGCATTCGGATCGACAAATCTTTCTATTCAACAGCATATTATGAAACGCAAACGTAACTGCCTACTCTACAACTATTATGATAATACAATAGACATTATTATCCATAATGCACCATTAGCCAGCATATGTAAATTATCGAGTCAAACAGAATACACCTGGTCTAAAGGTTGCGCTGAGACACAAATAAAACTTGGCATGATGTTGACCTCAATGTCACATTTTTCATTTATATATATATATTCAATTTATATATATTATATATATATATTCAAAGTTTTATATATATATATATATATATATATATATATATATATATATATATATATATATATATATATATATATATTCAAAGTTTTATATATATATATATATTTATATATATATATATATATATATATATATATTCAATGTTTGGTTGAATGACCTGAAATTTGTGTTCAAGGATGAAGCATTGTCGTTGTTTAGTATATATATATATATATATATATATTTACATCTGCCCAATTGTTTTTACTAAGTTAATAAAATATCAAAAACTGAAAAGAATAAATAATACAAAATGGAAATTAAAAACAAATAAAGTAACCCAAACCAATAAATAAATAAACAAGCCACTCCCTCAAAAATAACTGCCAGAATAGATTACACACAATGCACCACTAACTCATATATATAAATAGTCGAGGAAAAAACAATATTCCTGGCCTGACGATTGCGCCTAGCATTAAAAAAGCCTATCAACTCTGAGTGTTGAATTCAATGCTCAGTTTTATATTTATATTTACATACGCTCTATCTCTGATATTGAGCACTATATCTTAAAAATATAACACACCTTATAACTGTATTTCATTTATACACACACACACACACACACACACACACACACACACATATATATATATATATATATATATATATATATATATATATATATATATATAGTAACGTTAACCCTGTACAAGTCTCGTGGCCACACGAGGTAGTAGTTTATATTGATAGGAGGGGAAAATAATGGTTGAACAGGTTAAGAGTGTAGTGGTCGGGGAAACATCCTCTAGGGTGGCTGTTCTATTGAGACGATGACTGAGTGGAAATTACTACTTGCCAATGCAATACGGAAGGAATGTATGTAATTGCCATGGCGGATCCTAGCCGTGAAGGAGATGCAGATCAAAATAAAAGGTCCACTGCCAATCTCCGATCGTCAAAGATTTTAGAGGGCCGCCTGTATATCATCTTATCATCGGCATAGACGTTTACACATGATCACAGTATATTAGATATGTTATAGATTTATGTAAATCAAAAATATGGCTGGTCCAAGAAACGACCCCTGAGGTACGCCTGTGTTGAGCGCCAGGGCCTCGGAGGTACTGGCCGTTAATAATATCCTTTAGGTATTTACCTGTTTGGAAATATTTTCTCATAGACCAAACGCTTCCAGTGATTCCATAACTGGAGAATTTGTGCCACACCTTGTTGAAGGTCTTCGTGATATCTAATGCCTCTCTCTTTCTCTCTCTCTCTCTCTCTCTCTCTCTCTATATATATATATATATATATATATATATATTAGTAAATATATGTATATAGATCCGACAGTATGAAGAAAATATACAGAAAAAACAAACAAAAATCTTAATATGCAATTATGCTGTATTAATGTTAATATAAAGTCAACGTCTGACGTTGCGGTCTATTGTTATATGTTCTAATGTTAATTATGTTTAAATGAAAATGTCCTGAAGATGGTCTAAAATAGACCGAAACGTCCGACGTTGACTTTTTATTAACATTAATACAGCATAATTGCATATTAAGATCTTTGTTTGTTTTTTCTGTATATTTTTTCTTCATATATATATATATATATATATATATATATATATATATATATATATATATATATAGTATATATATATATATATCAGTGTGTGTGTATACTGCTTGAAATTCTGTATATTTATGAGGAACAAAGACGCGGACATTTATTCAGAATGCGTCGACATAGAAATCCAAACTGAATGATAACTATCTACAGCTCGGATAACGCTTTTATGTAAATCATTAAAATATCGATTATATCTGGAGTGGTCATTGGAGAGGAAATTGGTTAACTACCAGTTTGACTGTTGAGTAGTTACGTGGTTTAACAGGTAGTTGACATTCACTTTGCGTTCCTGGGCGAAACTATAGTGGATATTTCGATTTGAGGCAGAATTTCACTGGATAAGTCTATTACGTACCGACAGGTTACCGCTACTCTGAACATTATATTTTTGTTTTCGTACATTTTGAAACGATATAATGTGAAAAAGAACATATTTAAGTAAAGAAGAAAATTAAGGGGGTTACACGAACGATCAAGAAAGCGATTTCTACTGTAGTTGGAAAACAAAATCTGATGCTGGTAAAAGGAAGACAACGAAGTTTTCACAGGTGTTTGTACAAACGGGGCCAGAAAAGTACAGCTTGCAACCTAAAAAATGTGTCTTTTCACTGTTCCTTAATATAACAACAATCCAACAACACAAAAGACAGTTCTCTCGTCAGTAGGAGATGCTCACACACATAGACGCCAAGGACAAGCATGGCGATAATAGATTCCCTTATGAAAAAGGGACAAATAGCCAGGAAGATTCGCTGGGAGAGATTTAAGGCTGCAGATTAGTTTCAACGAGGGCTTGCACGTCTGGGGTACTTTCAAAGGGAAATGATTCTATACTTCAGGATTTGCTACAAACGCGACGAATGTTGGAGAAAGAAAAGTTGTGGGGGGGTGCTTAGTTACTTCGTATATAAACGTGCAGAGATACACGCATATGTGTGTGTCTGTATGTGTGTGCGCGCGTTTGTGTCTCTTTATGTGTGTCTGTTTGTGTGTGTATGTTTATGTGTGTGCGTGTATGCTTTTATTCGTGAGCGTTGGTGCGTTCCTGGTTGTGCACGTCTCTGCGTGTATGTAGGTATATGTGTTTATATATATATATATATATATATATATATATATATATATATATATATATATATATATATATATATATATATATATATATATATATATATATATATATATATATATATATATATAAATATAAGTGCGTAGGTATGCAGAAAATAGAAAAGAACACGTTGGGTGCATAATCCGGGGTTCCTTAATATTTTGTTTTTATTTTTAAGAAGACAGTGCTCCATACAGAAGTAGAGCTTATATTATAATAATATTTTTTGTTTAAAAATATGATTCCGTCGCTACATAAGAGTTCTCATGTTTCAAAAACGAGAGCCGAAATCATCCAAATAATTATTAAAATTTAGTTGAATTGAGGTGTTTAGCCCAGTTTCATCTTCAAGCGAAATTTTATGAATAAGCTATCTCTCGGTTTACGTGTATTTTTAGACATGGTCCCTTACAGAATTCGTTATTCGGCTATCCGAATAACGAATTCTGTAAGATGTCTGATTTCAATATTCAAAATAGAAATCAGACATCTCTATCACAATATTTCTGGCATCTAAAAGAAACGAATAAAACACCAAAAGTAAAATGGAAAATAGTAAATAAAACAAGAACTTGTAAAACCTGGGATGACCCATGCCCTTTATGCTTACAGGAAAAACTACACATCATTAAATTTCTAAATAATGAAAAATTATTAAACCATAAGCAGAAGTTAACGGTTTTTTGCCG